AGGAGCTGGTAAAAAGTGGGTAAGTCATGGCCAGGCAGCTGCCAGCGTATGCTGCAAGCGACGGCTGGGGATGACAATAGAGAGATGGAGAAGAGTTATTCATGTTTCTCCAAGAGCTGAGATCAGTTGAAACATCATTTTCCTCGGGGACGGAGAGGAAAGAGCTCCCTTCAAACACATTGTCCCATGAGACTCATTAAAGGCTCATCAATTACAGTGAGAGCAAACAATTCAGGGGAAAGCTATCATAAGCCTTCCTTTGGATGGCAATCATTAGCAGCTCTCTGCTGTGTGCTGCCTCTCCCCAACGCCAGCTCGGGCGAGCGGAAAGGGAGCAGGGGCCACCACTGCCAAGCTGGTGGCAGGGGAAAGCTGGAGCCTGGTGGCCCGGGAGCCAGCAGAAAGGGACCAGGTCTTCACAACATCCCTGGGGCCATGTGGCTGTGCAGTAGTGTCCTCATGGAGAGCACGGCGTGGAGATGAGAGCACAGGCTGGGCTGGAAGGAGACTTGGAAGGGAGGTGGTCACCCACTGTAGTGGACTTCTGTTGCCCCATGTCCTCACCCAGGTTTTTTTAAGGAGCTGTGGGCAAGACAGGATTGGGCCATGGTGGGAGCTGGGTGAGAGGTACACAGGGATGGAGCAGCTCTACAGGTCTCCATCCAGTGTGTGGCTCCTCTAGCCCAACCCAGCACAGCAGTGGGGTCATGGCATCAGGCCTGAGGAGGGGGTGTCAGCACCCCACAGCTGGCTCAGCCCCGCAGGGAGGGAGAGGGATGAAGAGATGCTCTTTGCCTTTCTCTGCTTTCCTTCCCTGCTCAGCAAGTGGAGTTATAGACAGAAAAGAGGTTGTAAAACACATAAGAATCCTTGGAAGGAACTCAAAGGTCTGGGATGGCTTTTTAAAATTATTTCAAAAGTCATTATTATGAAAGCTCAGCAACAGGGGCTGCTCTCCCACTCCCAGTGTGGCTCATGCAGGTTTGTGGCACTCACCCCCGCCTTCACCCCTTTCCTATGCCTGTGCACGGGCATCTCCCTCCCTCACACACGGGCTTGGCACCAGACTGTGACCTCCAGGATGCTGACTTGGAGAAATACAGGGATGGCAAACAGTTCTTTATGGCTGTTAAAAAAAAAAAAAAAAAAAAAGAGAAGGACACTTTCCTGTAAACTTTCCTTGGCGCGCTGAGCTCCATGATGTTCCCTGGTGGAGGCATTGGCAGCATCAGACCATGCTGCACCACTCTGAGGGAAGGCAGCCACTGAACGACCTGCACTGAAATAAACTCATAAATACCCCGTCGTGCAAACTGTAATGTCTTGGGCCACACATTGCTGGAGCCACTTTTGCTGGGAAAGGTGTGAGCCAGTTTCTGTTTGATGCAAAAGGCAGTTGTGCGCGCCTTCTAACAGCCCAGCGCAGGACTGGGGTGCCCCCGGGCCGTGGAGGGTGCCCGTGGGTGCTGTAGCTCCTGCTGGGTGTGAGCTGGGGCTGCTCTCCCCGGGGCTGTGCCCCACCACGGCTGCACCCTCTGCGTGCTCTGAATGCTCACCGAGAAACAGCACTGGCACCGCCAGCCTTGACCCATGAGTTAGAGAGGAGAAACGCTCCCAGCTCTTCCGATCTCCTCTGGAGCCAAAGAGACCATATTGCAACCAGCACTTTGCTGGAGCGGCCCCGGGACTGGAGCAGGGCCATTGCTGCCTTCTGCAGGACACAGCGCAGGTGTCTGCCCCACTTCTGCTATTTAAGCCTCATTGCTAAGTAGCTCCTAACCTTTCCCTTCATCCTCTCTTTCCTGCAATGGCTTCTCGCCCAAGGAAGATGAGCAGAGGCAAGCAGGACTAGCAGCTCCCACCCAGGGGACAGGGCTAATGCCATTTACTCCAGTCTCCACCAGCTGGATCTTGGCTGAGGAAAGACGTTGTGCACATACCATTGGTGAGTGCACGTCCTTAGGCTGCAGGCCCAGAGGAGGAGACAGAAAAGCTTGAAGAAGGGGTTAAAGCTGAGCCCAAACAGCAGGGAGGCCCGGATGCAGAAACCTTCACACAAAATGGGGTTGGCAATCAGGGCTGGCTGAAGGCGCTCGGCTGTTTGCTATTAAATAATGCAGCCTGATTGATTGGGCTGAAAAGTGCTGTGTTGCGGGGTCAGCTGGCTGGGGTTACAGTTCTCTGCTTAGATTGATGATCCTCAAAGGTCGAATTCAGAAAGCAATTCCCCAGTAAAATTGATCCTTTGGATAACAAAACTTTTGTACAGTGGCGAAGGGCCGGCCAGCGAGAAATATCAGTGACCTGGGCGCAGGCAGGCAGGGTGACCAGCTACCTCTGCTTTCTCTTTATTCCATTTTCTTTGTTTACATCAATTAGGGAGTGAGGGTCTTCTCTGGGAAGAGCAGTGCTCCACCACCCCTACATGCAGTGGCTGGGGGATGTCCATGAGCACCCACCCTGTCCCCATCCTGCTGGCAGGGGAGCGTGGGTGCCTTTGCAGGGACGGGAGGCAGCTGGGGGCTGTCCCAGGAGCTGGTGCTCAGCTCCTGGCTCTCCTGAGCGGTGTGTGCGTACCAGCAGGCACGTCTGTCTGCCTCCTGCAACCATCCGTGCCTCCATCTCCCGGTAGCAAAGGCTGGGTCTCACTGCGTGGTGGAACTTTTGTAGCTGGAGCCAAATTAACGGCAAGCAGGTTTCACTCTCCTGCACAGCAGCAGCTTGAAGCCAGCAGAAGCACCCCAAAACAGCTGCTTGGCCCTCAGCAGGGGATTCCAGGAGCGTGGATGTGCTACAGGCAGAGAGGGGTGAAAGAGGCTGCTGCAGGCCACCGCAGGGGACAAGGTGGTGGTCACCCAGGGCTGACGTGCCCATTGCGAGACTAGCAGGGTCAAGGACAGGAGCCAGGCACTACCTTCACGTCATCTCAGACTTCAGAGAAAATAAGGGGGATGCCAGGCCCTGCCTTCTTTTTATCGCCTCCCCTGTGGCTCTTAAACTCCCCATCAGCTGGATTTTAAGGTTGCTGGTTCCCACCACCTCAATCCCACCAGTGGTAGAAGGGAAGAGAGCTGCAGCTCCCAGAAGCTGTTGCTCTGATTCAAGCTGGGCCCAGAGTGGCAGCAGTGAGGCTCTGACCTGCTTTAACCCACTATCTTGCCTGCTTTCCTCCCGTCTGCTTGTTTTGAAGCGAGAGAAGGCGGCCGTGATGTGTGGACACTGAATAATTCAGTCCAGCTCCGCAGCACCCCAGGGCTGGGCACCGCCTCTGCTAAAGGGCTGGGACGGCTCAGCCAAAAACCTTCCTCATCGGAGGAGGAGACACAGAGCAGCTGAAATACAGCATTCGTCCTGTGCAGGCACCAGCCAAAGCCGCTTCCTTCCCCTGGATGCTCGAATTCACGGCTTGCTCCCAGAGCACTGGTGCTCAGAGGCTGTTAGTGCTTTCAGCCGTGACACGGCATCTCCAGCGCTCACTAACACACAAACTCAAGTGGAGCATGCTGAGCGTGTCTGCCTCTGCTCCATGGACCACATTTTCTTTCTTCCTCCCTTTTAAAGACTACAATATTCCCTCCTCTTGGTCAGAGACAGGCCAGGGTTGTAAGATGGGGAGATAGACTGTTCATCCAGCTTATGCTTAGCCTCTGAGCAGGGTTTGCTAGAATTAAGGACAGAGAGGGGAGGGGGAGAAAAAAAAAAATCATACATGGGGTCATCTTATCCAGCCACACATGAGAAGGAGCACAGCAAAGGCAGCCTCAGCAGGTCAGGCAGGCAGCTGGGGAGCATCTTTGGGGGCTCCAAGGGAGAGGGGCAGAGGCACCAGGAACTGGTGGCCATGAACGGTGCCAGCAGCCAGGAGGGACCCAGCTCCCAGCCTAATCCAGACTGTTCATCCCACTGCAGACAGAGCACAAGAAGAGGCAGGCCATGTTTCCTCTATCTTCTCTGCAAGCGGTTCGTTCCCTTCAGCTCTGCATTTCTTGTGCAATTAGCCCTGTAAAATAAAGCACTGCCCGGTCAGATTTCTCTATCCGTTCACATAAGGCAAAGCATTACCATTTTCTAATGCTTCTGCTTCCAAGAGTGTAAATTATTGCACAAAGCAGTGAAAAAAAAAAAAACAAGCTGTGCTAGGGATCCACTGTCTGGAATGAAATGAGAGGTTTTGGTCCCTGAAGTCTCTGTCTGATGGCCTGAGCTCGGGCCCGGGAGTCACCAGAGCTACATGTGAATTATGGGCTCAGCCTCTGTGCTCTGCGCAAGTTACCTCCAGAGTCTGAGCAACAGGAATTATTGTACACAGAGATAATTATTCCCTGCACACTGCACTACAGCTCATTAAAAGTTTGTTAATGTTTGCAAATTGCTGAATAGTGTTTTTCATCGTTGCCTTCTCTGATGAGGCAGGGACTAAAAGGCAGATTCTGATGGTGACTTGTTCTCTCTGTTATTTCGGTCACAGCAGGCTGGCTGTGCTGCACATAGGGAAAAGGGTTTGTGTTGTGCAACCTCACACCAGGGGAGAAAACGCTTTTGACTTTAGTACGTTGTGCAGGGGTCAAGGGGCTGTCCCACCAGTGTTAGCCATGCTCTTCCATCTAAAACCTGAGGCTTTTCTCTCGGCCTCCAAGTAAAAGCCTCCATCTGAGCTAATCACCCAGATTTCTGTAACAGCCAGAAATGTGTGTGGCTCCTTCCCGGAGTCTCAGCTGGAGATGTTGACTTACCATTAAACGGTCTGTGCTACTGCAGTCAGATGGTGGGAGTAAAGTATCTCTCATCCTGGAATAGAGACTGCAGATCCAGCTTGGGCAAGGAAGCGGACATGGTAACTCCAGCACCAGGCACCTGGGGAAAACAGCTGAGTGCAGTGAAAAAGTCCTGCAGAAGGAACAGAAAAGGGGTAACCAGCCCAGCTTCATTCTCATGCACTACGCCAGGGGCAAGGAGGAGTAGCAGTAATACCTGACAGCTCTTATGTCTTTCTCTTCCAGGTGTAAATGCAACCTCCATGCTAACCTGTGCACCTTCAAAGAGGGCAGCCTTCAGTGCGAGTGCGAGCACAACACCACGGGGCAGGACTGTGGCAAGTGCAAGAAGAACTTTCGCTCCAGGTCTTGGCGAGCAGGATCCTACCTGCCTCTCCCCAACGGGTCCCCCAATGCATGTAAGTAACCTGCAGTGAGCCAGCCCTGGCCGTACTCCCACCTTGGGCTGCACAATGCCTGCAGATGGGAGCAGATTCTCATCTTGCCCTTCTCCATCTTGAATCAGTGCAGGATGTTCAGCTTTTGAAAGGGAAGCGGGTATTTACCCATGTCTTGGTACGCAGAGAAACGAGAGAGGATCTGGGTGGGTGCGGAGGTGGATGGTAGCTAAGTGGTAAGTCCAAATGGTGGTCAAGAATAGGAAGGATGAACTTGGACCAAGACACAGGTCCATGGTTTTGTGGCAATGCAAATTACTGTCCTTTGAAGATAATATTTAGCCCCAGTAGAGCACTGGCTGTCAAATAGCTCATGGGCTCAGCGCTGGCACTGCTCAAGTGCGGGAGTGCAGCTTGCTTTCTGGGTTGCTTTCTAGGTCCCGTTCTGTGTATGTTGGTATTTCAGGCGAGTGCCACGAGCTGCAGTCCCTCTGCGCAGCTCCAGTCTCATCCAATTGCCTGCTGGAGCAAGGCACTGACAGAAGCAAAGGCGCGCAGGCGAGATGAAAGATGCATACCACCATCGTTTGAGCAGGGGAATTGGGGCAGGAAACATCACAGATGGGCCAGGTTCTCCTGGGTTTCTGTCCAGTCCACATTAGCAGACTTGTTTAAATGTCACAGAGCCACAGTAGCCACTCCAGCCTTTCAAGCAGCAGCTTTGAGTGTTACCAAAGAGAATCTTTTCCCTTCCTCCCCCCAAATTTTTTGAAAGATTTATGCGCTTTAAGATGATCAAAGCTGAAATTCAGGCTCCGAAGGCCGTGACGGGAATGTTTTGTGCGTGCCAGGGTTGGTAGACGAGCAGGTTCTTTGAAAGGGAACGAGCTTGTCAGCTCCCACCAAGCGGCTGCATTGCTTCAAAGGAGCCTGGGAGAATTTCTGGTGTTGACAGGCACAGACATGCTGTTCTCTCTCTTTCCCTCCCCTCCGTTCCTTGTGTCTCTTCCTATTTCTCTTTCTCCTCTGCTCTTTCTTCTCCCATTCATCTCTCTTCCCATCTGTCACTCAGTCTTCTTCCTCCCCCCCACCCCATCTCTCTGTTGCTTCCCCCTTCCCACATCGGCATCTTCTTCCTCTGCAACAGAGGCAGTTCTCTGAAGTCCTCTCCTCTTGGTGGTCCTGTGCTTTATATTCAGGCAAAGTTGAGACTTGCCATGATTCATCCACTTGTTACAGTAGAGAGGAGCATGGCCGTTAGTCTCCTGGGTGCTGAAAGCCAGAAGCCAATCCTTGGATGGCCTTCAACGGGCTGGTTGGAAGCCAGTGGCTTTGCAGCATCCTCTTGAGCAAGTGCTGCAGTGGGAAGGGTCTTCAACCCTTCTTGCTCACGGAGAACTTCTCTAGGTGCAACAAGCTGATTCAGACCCCACAGTTTGTACTTAGAAGAGTGATCCTCAGCCGATATCCTTGTCCTTTGCTGGGCTTTAACGGTAGGCCAAGCAAATGGATAACAGAAAAGCCCATCAGAAAGGATCAAGGTGGTTTTTCTTCCCCAGGTGAAAAGTTGGAGATGCAAGACCCCAGACAGCACTGTCTGGTTGCCTCTGTGGTTTGACAAAAGCAGCTTTTGAGATGTTGCAGCAAACTGCTATGCCTATGAGCCAGACCCCCGCTAATTAGTTGCTGTTCGGTCCCACGTCATGTGTCTGTTTGATCTTCTGCTGGTACCAGAGCTGATGGCATCCTGCTTCCAGTGACCGGGCTTCTTCTTGTTTTTCCAGGTGCAGCTGCAGGCTCAGCCTTTGGCAGTAAGTAAAAACATAACTGAAATGCTGGCATTTAACACCTCGGTGCATGGTCTTTGTGCATGTCACTAGAGAAAAAAAAAATGGTTATTTTCTGTCCATTATCATTTTCTAGGCAATACGTCTTCCCTAATTGTGCCTCATTTTCTGTCCTGTCAAAGAGTCTTATATTTTCTTCCTTTGACTTCAGTAGCCTCATTTTGCCTCTTCCTCTGGCATGGTTTCCCCCCATGAGGTTCGTTAGTATGGCAGCCGGAAAGGAAATAAAAAAAGACTCTTCAAAACCACCAGTGCTCGCTGTGAACTTCCCCCCACCTCCCAGTACTGCAGAATTCTGCTCTGAGAAGGATCTGGGTTTCAATTATTTGGCATAGCATTCAGCCAGGGTCACCTTGGGCTATCGACAAAAAAACATGTATAGAGTTTGTGTACATCTGTATGTACACGTGTATGTATGCAAACAGATGTCTATGAAGTGTCGGCAGCAAAGACAGTAGAGCTCAGCGGGGATTTCTATTGAAAGATTGATGATGTGATAGGACTCCTTATTTAACAAAGCTGGAGGTAGTTTGATATCACAGAGCCTTGAGTTTTGGGTAAGCAGAAGCCTGGGTTTGAATTTTGTGGCTTGGAATTACCCTCCAGAAGAAACAAATAGGAGAGCTGAATGAATAATGAATTCTTTGGTTTGCAGGCAAGTGGAAAGAACTGGAGGAGAAATAGTTTCAGAGAAATGCAAATGAAAATAAGGAAAATGCACCTAATTGAAATGTGGAGGGCAGTTTTTCTGGGTAAATGAACCATATTTAGATTTTAAGCAGTTAAATTTAAATGGTTAAAAATATAAAATTAAAAGTCTTCCTCAAGTAGTTTAGGATTAAAAAAAAAAAAAATGTTTTAACAGTCCAAAATATTCTTTGCTTTTCTGGTCAAAACCATTTTAATAACTCTTTTTCCCCCCCTTAACAGAGCTTGGCATCCTCAGTGCTACCTTTATTTCACTGGAAAATGTTTCCCACGAAAATTTTCTGCTAGGGAGAAGCTGGGAGGGTGCTGGGAGCAATGCACAGGAGGTGGACGGGAGGGATTTGTGTCCAAGGCTGGTTAAGGAGAGATTATTTAGCCTGCATAGGAGACTAGAAGTGACCTAAATTAAGTATTTAAACTAGCTCAGGGCTATTATGAAATTAAGCATGATAATCTGCATAGAGCAGTGGGACAAACAAGGACAGGAGGGCAGCAGGTGTAAGTTAAGTAGGCATTTGTGTTTCGAGTGTTATTTCAGTTCGGGCTGTTGTGGCAAGTGGGGGGGGGGGGTGAGCACCGCACCCAGGATCGCTCCTGCACAGCTCCGCGGGGGCTCACCAACCTTAAGCCATCAATTAATTTGCCCTGCCAAACGAAGGTTGCCGGTGGAAATTAATACACACCAGCGGTACGGGTTGGTTTTGATGGTGCCAGGTAGTTTGCTGCCTGCGGGGCGACAGCAGGGACGGTTACAGAGCCGGGGTGGGCAAGGCTCTGCCAGCTGGAACATCAAGCAGGGTGGGCTGGGGGCTCCTCTGCACCTCCCACCCTCTCCTCACCCCACCTCTGCCCAGGTGTGCTTTCATTTCCCCTTTTCAGCTTAATTGGCAATTATCTTGTGATAGAGCTGTAAGTATTTAAGCCAAATCTGCGCCAGCAGAGTAAGCTGATGCGGCCGTAGCCTCCAGCCCCTGCCCGCACACACTCACGCGCTGCATCCAGCGTCATCGAGCTGCCATCGCCTTAATCCTCTTGGTGCCCCAGTTGTAACCGCGCTGAGAAATCGGTCACCAGTTCAGCCCCAGCAGCAGCAGCCTCGTGGGTGTGTGGGCTGGCAAGTAAACCCTCCGTTCCCTCCCAGTAAGTGCCTCCTGCCTCTTCCCTTTGCTTGCTAGCGTATGAGCGGCGGCAGCGGGTTGCCACCGCAAAAAACACCACCACTGCAACACACGCCACCACAACCTCAACCAGCACCTCCCTCCCTGCTGCCACCACCCAGCCAGGTGGGTGCCACCCTCCCTGCCTCGCTCAGAGAGCCAGGACTCTGCCCCCAGGCTCCTCTTTTCGGCTGCTTCCCATCCTGGCGGTGGTGGGGAACGCACAGGGCTGCCGTGTCGGTGGGCCTGGTTATCTGCTTTGTAGGATGATAAAGGGAGATGGATAAAAATCACCCTGACTCTGTTCACGTGCCCCCAGCCTCTGGGCAGTCCTGGTTTGTTGTTCTCTCTATTCAGTCCAAGGACACTCTGACGTGTGTAACAGGGGCGAGGAGCAAGCGTTATGGTCCCTGTAAGCAGGGAGCCAGCCTCAACGGGTCCACCTCAGAGCCAAGAAACAACCATGCCATGGGTTGACATCCCCCTTCACCAGCTGATCTCACTCTGCTGTCACTCTGTTATTATCAGGGCAGCAAGAAGGGATGCAGGGGAACCAAAGCTTTTCCCTTTTTTCTCTCAGTTCTGCTTTTTTAAAAAGAAAAGGTTTTCAAAATCCATCCCTCCTACAGCCACTTGCCAACATTGTCCTGCACAGGGCTGGCATGGCTGCAAGAGATGCTCTCTTACAGCTCCATCACAAGGCAGGGCAGGAAAGCAATGAAGGCTTTACTGTCCCGCCATAAAATTAAACCGGGTATCCAGACTTGCCTGGCTGGAAGGAGAGGGGAATGGTACCCCATTTTGCTCTATCCCTGAACTCCACCTGTGATACCAGAGAGAGCTGCCCTCGCTGTGCTGGCTGGGTGCTGCTCCCAGAGCGCGATGGAGAAGGCTGGGTGCTGCTCTGCCCCACCAGCCGCTCGCTCGGACGGGGAACCTTCCCCGTGGAGGGCTGCAGCCTCGGCGTGCGAGCGGGCAGCTCCTGCCGAGCAGCCCGCAGGCTTTGCCAAGCCCTGCCAGGGACGGGCCGTAGGGTCAAGGGAGAAGCTGGCTCTGTCCTTGCTGGCTCTTCCAGTCCCGCATCAGGTCCCTGCGACCAGACTCAAGGATGTAGCGCAGGCTGGCTGCATCTTCAAGGGCAGTTTTCCTAGGGCAGAGCCGTGCTCTAACGTTCCCCAGGCAGCCGCTGTACAAGCAGCGAGGGAATGTGCAGCGCTGGAGCTCACACACGTGCCAGAAACACCCCTTCCTAATTTTAAAAATCACCCCGTGGAGGAAAACTTTTGTCCTTTTTCTGGGGGTTCCTCCTTCCCTCCCCGCCGTGAACAAGGAGACGGCGTTTTCACTTGTCTTTTGGGAATGAGCAGATAAAACTTAACAGCAGGACATTTTTTTTAAGCTTCTCATGGGGGAATTAGACACGCATTCCTCCCCTTGCCATGCTTTCTGGGCCTGATATTTCCCAGGAGGACGTTTTACACCCACAGTATGTTAGTAACAGTCTGTCTGGGGGAGCTGCCAGAAGCCAGTCAAAGGGATGAGGAAACTTGATTGCATGTTTATGCAAATATAGATATATTCATGGAAGTACCCTGCTTGAGTACTTAATCAGGAAGCCAAGGGTTTAGCTCCAACTTCAGTGACCCTGAGCAAAAGAGTGCAAGTCTAGGGTCTGTTAAGAAGTGCTCCCCACCCCGATTTGTGTTGTACATGTGCAGAAGGAGGTTCATCCACCACCCCTGCCCAGAGCTCACACCATCACCATGGCCTCAGCAGCGACAGGGGACCACATCTACATCTGCACCACACTCTTGGGGTCATTTGATTTTTATCCATGCTCACCCATAGCAACATTTTAGGTCTATTTTTCTTGCAAGTGCTGCGTACGTGTGGGTGGTGTGTTTAGTGTCTATCTTGTGTATGATTTGCAGTGTTCTGCCTCGCTTGTGTCATACATCTGGGGCGGGCAGGACAGCATCTGTGTGGGATTGGGGGTGGTGGGGGTAGTCTCTCCTGCCAAACTGTCCTGAGGGACCTGGCATCACGCACCTTAGGGTTTATTCCTACTCCAAAACCTGCTTCCTGGGCAGAAAAAAAATGTTTTCATAGTGCTTTCATTAACTGATGGCAAGTGACTAAATAAATAAATAAAACTCAGTGTAGCTGCCGCATATCTGGCTTGATATGGTCAGGCCTGAGCTCAGAGCTCCTTGCCCTCATCCAGATACCCATCCAAGTTTCTGCAGAGCCAGGTCCCACCCCAGAACCGTGTGCCTGGGGTTGGAGACAGTCCCCAGAGGGGCTGCTCCAAATAAGAAGGTAGCCAGGGCCACCCAGCAGCTCAGGGACCTGTTCTCTTACCAGGGCAGCATGCTGGGTTTGATGCCAAAGGTCCACTGTGTGCCTTTGACCAGCAGCAGGGAATCAAGGCACAGCCTAATTCTGATCTGCTTTTGACCAGAGATATTCCTCCCTCTCTGGTCCTGCAAAATGTAAAGTGCTTCTTTAAATACCATGATATGCCCAAGGGGCTGTGAATCTTACTCACCTAGACCTTGAGGGAAACACCTTGTTAAAGAGATGCCCCTTCAAGCTCCTGGTAAAACGCCCGTTTGCATTAAACAGATCCCTCCTTGCTTTAAAGCCAGCTCAGACAGACAGACATTAAAAAAAAAAAAAAAAAAAAGTCCTGTTAGAGCCCTGCCCCATCCCTGTGCTGTTTCACCCTCTAATTTACACACTATCTTCTGTCCTCTGAATTTCTTCTTCCCACCATAAGCAAGCATCGTCAGACCAACCTCTGCGTTCACTGCTTCTATGCCCGTGAGAGAAACACAGAAAAAACCAGATATTTAAAGCCAGACTGATGTGTTTTTCCATTCTCCTTCATGCCTCCGCACACTAGTGGGTAGCGGCAAGGCAAAAAGCAACATAGCACGTAGGCTAGAGGAGTAGATTAGATTTGGGTTGTCTCTGGGTTGCATGAATCTGCTAGACATCTGCTTCCTTTGGCTGCTCATGGTGTTTTCCGTGGTCAAGGTGTAGCTGTGGTCATGTTCGTAGGATGCTTTTGTGCCCGGTCACCTGTCGTGTGGTGAGAGGGGAGAGAAGAATGAGTTTATGGGCACGGTCTGTTGTCTGAAGGCATTCGAGGCTGCCGAAATGGGTAGAAGGAAGGGAAATCACAGAGTTACCCTAAGGAGAATGAATTAAGTGCTATTCTCATTTGCCTTCTGCAGTTCTGTTATTTCAAAACCTTCCTTGGAGTCTGTCAAATTCTTCCTTGACATTTGTTACATTTTTCCCACGTTCAAAATAAGCAAAAAAAGCTTCTCTCTTTTTTTTTTTTTTTTTTTTTTTTTTTCCTGCTTCCATTTGCCGTGCTCTGGTTTGTAGCAGTTTTGGCAGCACCAGTTCACCTCTGGGAAAAACAAAACCAACCTGCACCCTGCTTGATGGTTAAGAGCTCCAGCAGAAAGAACACCAAAAGCCTGGCTTTGTGTAGGTCCTGCAGAAAGGGGACCCCATGTTTCTGTATTGAGGACTTTTTCAGGGTCCTTCCCCACTACTCCAGCAGTGTTTGCCCCACTGGTTTTTGCTGTGAAGTGTGACTTCTTGGTTCAATTTATGCTACTTCCCCAGAAATCCACCAAGACCAGCAATTTTCAGCAGGACTCACACAAGCCTCTGAGATAAGAGCTGCCCAGTGTTTCCCATTTGTATGAACTGGGTCTGAGGGTGAAACATATCTCTTCCCCTCCCAAAAATGTAAAACTGTCCATTAATGTCCAAGAGCTACAAGGGAAAGATTGTCAGGATAATGAGCATTAATAATTTTCCTGGCTCTGTAAATGCCATTGAGTGGAGGTGTATGTGAATGACTAAAAAGCAAAATGCCTCCAGGGCTGTTTTTTATTGTGACTCTAATTAAACCCTTGCCAATTTGCACAGGGCTTTTTTCATATTCTCTTTAACACCATATTAATATCAATTGGTTTCCACTTTCCAACTGAAAAGGACAATGTCTATCACCTTCTTTTAGAGCTCGTCATTAAAAAAAAATAATCTTTTTTTTTTTTTCTTTTTTTATTCTGCATTGTTTATCATCCCCTTGACGAGGCTGGGAAATCACATTTCTCTCCTACTCGGGTTTGTCCTTTGAAACTTGGCAAGGATCGTGATTTTTTTTTTTTTTTTCCTCCTCCTCCTTATGTTACCCAACTGGAGCTTGAAATTAATAATATGGCTTTTAAAATTTTATCCCATGGTTTGTTTTCTAGCAAACCTGAAGATTGCTACCAATATTGAGGAGGCAGGAAGGGGTATGGAGCCAGTGGGGGTGAGGGTTTGCAGGGAAATCAAACAAGTGATCTATAAATTTCTTACTGGTTTAATTTTTCTGCAGTGGCTTGCAAATTATTTAATTGGTATTTCTGAGGGAAGAGCAGAGCCTGAATGAGAGCCTAGAAGTTTGGATTAGAAACCAGGACTTAGTACCTCCATCCTAAGACACCTGTGCCATTTCTCCATCCCATTATTTCAAAGCAGAGGGGTACAAGCTCAGTCACTGAGGTCCTGATGCAAACACACAAGCGAAACACCGCGCGTTCAAGCGGGGCTGAGAACGGGCAGCTCAGCGCACTGCTGCCCCCCACCCTTTCCATCACAAGGGCTGCCCGGCCCCTCCAGTGCCCGAGGATGCACCAGTTGCCCAGTGCCAGCAGCGGTGCTTGCAGGGAGCAGGCGTGGAAACCCACGCGGGACGGGGATCTGGGCTGGCGGTGTCCTCCAAAGCCCTGGCCCTCCATCAGAGCACCGCAGAGCTCCTCGCTGGCTGCCAGCTCCCCCCCCCCAGCACACTCAGTAACACTGTTTTCCCCTTTGATCGTTGCAAGACTACACCGGCTTGTCAGCGGCTGCCCCCCTTCAAGTGGGCAAGGCTGGCCCAGGAGCAGAAGGTAGGAGGACGCGTGGCTGAGCGAGTCCCAGCTCCCGACTCTCGGCAAACGCTTTAGTTTCTAGTTCTGCATCTCCGTTTTCCATGCAGCTCTCTCGTCCTCCCACCTGGGAAAAAAACTCAGGGTTTGTTTGTGCCCGACATGCAGCTGGGAATCTGGTGAGGCTGGATTGAGCCTCGGGGTTTAGTCGTATACATGAAAGATGAGGATGGCGAGTGGTAGAAGAAATTGTTCACAGCTTGCTGCTGAGGTGAACGGAGAGTATCATGGAAATCCCATCGTCTCCCAAGCCTGAACTCTGCTTGAAGAGCAGAATAACTTTGTAAATAGATAGGCCCATGTCGTTTGTAGCATAGATGCCTTCTTATGTATTTCCTTGCTTCAGGTCTCCTGCTTGATTGCCTAAGGTGAGCTGCTCCTGGTGGGAACCTTGGGAGGCTTCATGCTGGCTCTTGAGGCTGAAGTTTCTCCTCCTCGGGGTTCCTACCAGCACATACGCTTCAGCAGTTGCCTGTTGGTGCTCAAGTGCTGTTTCCCAGCTGAGATGCCTGTAGCTCACCCCAGCCATAGACATTAGCATCCCTTCCAGTGCAGAAGGTAACAACAGCTGAAGCTGGGCCCAGGGCACAACCCAGTGTTTGGAAATACTCAACTGGGGGGCAGAAAGTTCTGAAATTGAGGCTTTTTTTGGAATTGTGCCCTTGGGTCTGTCTCCGGCCTCACAGAGAGACAAAACTGTCTTCGATACTCTAACAAGAGATAGGGCTACACCATGGGCATCAATGCCAGGTAATGCTGACAGTCTGTGCCAAACAAGGGGGGCTTCTGAGTCTTGAGAGTGGTCTGCAGACTCATCTTCTGTCTATGCTTGGGCAATGGAATGACCACATGCCAACACTTGCCCATTCAGCAGCTCCCATGCCCTCCTCTTAGGAGTACTTTTTCTGTCTCTCTTCACACTTAAAAGTCTCTAATTTCCAGGAGACTTTGTCTCTCATTCCTGCTTCACCACATCCTCAACTAGACATGGTTCCACCAACCAAGCCTAGATACCTGCCTAGAGCTTCCAGTGTCCCTTCACCACCTTTTTAAGCAAACGAAAGGGAGATCTCTATTAAATCTGACGTTCTCTCTAACTGATGCCACTGTAAGCTGTTCAGCATCCACCAAACACAGCAGCACTTGGACCCAAGATGAAGCCACGGGATCCTCCTGAGAACATTCAAGGTAAGGCTGTACACATCCCCAAGGACAGGGCAGGACAGGTTTCTCCCCAAGTTTCTGTAGGTCAGGACAACCCACCCATCCTCAGCATGAGCCACTATTGTACAATCTGCTCTCCTACTCAGAGGGTCTGCCTCAGCTCAGTTCTGCTCATCCAGCCCCATGAAGATCTTTTTGGAGAGGTGTTCGGGGCTGGAATGGCTGCAGGGCTGTCTCTGGGCCCTGGGAGTGTGCCTCAGCTGCTTTGGGAAGGGGTTTCTTGCCACGGGGCGAGGGGCATACACCTTCCCCTTGCCAAGATTAATTGGGCTGATCAACTGCTCTGGCCCAACAGGGCTAAGCCCTGTTAGCAGATCACCGTGCTCCCAACACCCCATAGAGCTTCCTCACGGCCATGGCCCCTTCCTCATGAGGGATAGGCACAACCATGGGGGGGCTTCTACGCAGGGATATGGCCCCCAGAGCCGCCTGCAGCACCCACTGCAGAGATGCAGGGCTTTGGAGAACCCTGGGGACCCACTGAGCTGCTCCTTCCCCTCTGGGCTGCCCCACTTCCCTCATGGCAGGGACAATAGGCCCTGGTCCCCCTGAGCCGTGGTGGCTGTGAGAAGAGGCTGCCATGTTCCGTGCTCGGCCATCGTGCCAGGGGATGGGGGAGGCCGTGGTGGCAGAGCAGGGCCTGGGCACCACGGCGGCCAGTCACAGCCATGGAAGCTGGAGAGGCCGTGTCGGTGGAGGAGTGTCTGGGCACCATGTCAGCCCACCACGGGACCGGGAGAAGCCGTGGAGACCTGAGGAGGACCCAATGCCACAGCAGCCTCTCAAATGGCATCAGAGACAGGAGCGGGCCCACTCTGACATGGCTGAGCCCTGGGGGTGGGAGCACGGCCACCTCCTGCTGTCTCTATCGCCGGGGGGATGTGACCAGCACCAGTGGGACGGAGCTGGCAGTGCCCACCCAGCACCTCCCTGAGCACCACAGCACTGTGCAAAGGCTGGCACGCCACAGACACCGGTGGAACCCATTCCTAAACACCCTGTGGGGTCTCAACATTGCTCCACCTTGCCCCTTCCTGGGGTTACCAAAACACAAAACCCCCCAAGCACCAAACCCCATCAGCTCAGTTTGGAAGGAACGGCCTTTACCCCCAGCACCCTGGTGATTCTGTGTGGGACCAGTGGCTGGCTGGCTGGCAGCACAGCCCCAAGGAAGCACCATCCCAGCTGGGGCATCCCCTAACCCTGAGGAAATATCCCAGTCCAGCCATACTGGGCTGGCTCTGGGAGCCCTCTCCCCAACACAGCACTCAGATATTTTTTTTTTTTTATCATCTGGTGTAGCAGCTCTGAAGAGCAAAGCAGGGCACACAGCACACTCTGCAGGCAAGAGGCATGGGAAGAAGCCAGGTACGTGCTGGTGGGGACAAGCCGGGCTGGAGTGGTACGTGCTCTGCAGGACCCTGTACCAAGCCCTGCCAGATGCCACCTCCATAGTGTTCCTCCTCCTAGCTGCACTCCTAGCAGCTTTTTCGGGTGCCAGTTGGCATGACCTCCATCAAACTGAGGCCATGGGCAGTAGATTTGGGTTTTTTTGAAACTGTTCAGACTTGAAAATCCTTATCCTGAATATCCTGATTCATATCAAATGTGCATAAAGGGAGGATGTGCCAGTAGCTCCTCCCGGCTCTGCACATTGCAATAGCACTGTGCATTGAGTTTTTCATGCATCAAACTTTGAGGAGGGGAGAAGAAGAGGAGAAATTTAGCAGCTACCAGCTGTCTGGTGCAGAAATAGATGCCAGTGCTGCCAGAGCGGTGTTCTTGGCTCGGCTCGGCATTGTTCTCATGGCAGAGCTGCTCACAGTAGGGTAGGACATGGAGTGGTGCTAAGCGGTGAGAAAAAGCATGTCTCTTGATTTTTCTTAAGCATCCTCAAAGAGCTCAAAACTCATCCGGCTCAAACCAGACTCTGGCCCAGTGGCTCCTATTGAAACATATAAAGGTAAGAGGAAGAGCGTGGTGCTCCAGTGCTCCTAGTCTTTGCCCAGGTGATGTGCTCCAGCAGCCTCTGACATGGAGAAGGTGGGGAGGGTTTGGCAGTCCAGTTGTGGTTAGCTGTATGTAGGAGTACATCCCTAGAAACAACACTTGGGAATTGCAGCAGCCAGAAGTATTTGAGTTGAAATTCACTGGGTATTAGTCAAACAGGCAGAAGTTGTTTCACAGAAGGTGAAGATCACAGCAGACTCTCAGCTCCTCCTCAAGCAGCTGTGAACCGTGGGGAAACCTCTGCTCTGCTCCATCTTCCCTCATCTTCATTTCATTGAGACAAATCTCTCCTCCAGTAGCATGCGCATGCCAACCCACACCCTTCCCTCCCATCCCTCTGCCATCCTCAAATGTTTAATGCTTGGAACAAAACGCCAGCTCTGAGCCTCCCTCCTCTTCTCCAAAGGCTGGGGAAGCTCAGACCTGGCTGACACTGTTTCTGCTCACATTATCCCCTGGCCATGCTGGCTGGGACAACTCGTGACCAGGGCAGCTGGGCCACAAGGTAACTAGGGTACCACCTCCTCTCCTCCTGTGTTACACTTCTAAACTCCCAGAAAGAATCCAGTGCCCTGAATCTAACACTGCAAGGTAGCCATGGTCCCAAGTCATGGTAATAAAAAGAAAGCACAAGAAGCAAGTAATCAAATTCCTCTGGCTAGAAATTAAACCCAGCTGGTTGTTTTCTAACACATGCCCACAGCTGAGAGAGGTCAGCCCTGGGGACAGGAGCAGTACTTGGCCAGGCAATGGGATATCTCCCCTGCTGCCAGCGGCCTTTGCAGATGTCCCTGTGCTGTGCCAGGCAGCCCCAGTTCAAGCCCTCCTGCACTTGCCCACTGTTTGTTGAAGGACCCCACACAAGCCACACTTCCTTGCATAGCCCCATTTTAAGCATTTAACCTGGAAGTCACCTGCTTCAAGACCAGCATTGGTTTGGGAGGTAAAACAGCAAGGGGCATGCTGAGAAGGGACACAGAGAGGAAAAAGCCGGAGAGGCAGCAAGGTTTTACCTGGACATGCAGCAGGGATTTCTGATCATGGGAGGCAGTGGGTGCTGCTGCACCCCCTGCCAGCCCCATCCCATGGGCTGGGTCCCTCCTTGCCACACCGAGGCCACGTGCAGCCTTTGGCAGAGCCTTTTCTGGGGCCCTGCACCCCAGCACAGCTCCCTTGCAGGTCCTGCAGCCCCACCAGCGCCAAACCCAGGCACCAAGCTGAGCTCTGCTTGTTAACAAGGCACTTTGTTAATTAACACCTGACTCCCCTCCACAGCCTGCTCCCATGATGGTGCATTTCCTGGGGTAGCCGTGGGCTGGCTCCTGCCTGTCCTCACCCCAAGGAGACAGAGCCCCCTGACCCCGCTCTGCTCCCTGAGCGATGATTTCCAGCCCGATTACTCCATGGCAGTGAGGAACAGCAGCCGCTGTGCGCACTCATCCTGCCCACCCCACCCCAGCCCACCCCAGTCAGCAGTGGCCATTGCATTTCCCCAGAGTAGGAGCCTCCTCCAAAGCCTTGTGGCTCCTCTCCTCTGCCCCGCATGAGGGAGGATGGTCCCAGCCCAGCTCCCCAGCTCTCTCCTCCTCTCCGTAGACTGCGAATGCTACGGCCACTCCAACCGCTGCAGCTACATCGACTTCCTGAACGTGGTGACCTGCGTGAGCTGCAAGCACAACACGAGGGGCCAGCACTGCCAGCACTGCCGCCTGGGCTTCTACCGCAACAGCTCGGCGGAGCTGGATGATGAGAATGTATGCATAGGTGAGAGTTTCAGTGGCCTCGGGCAGCGGCACCGGGACATGGGATGGCTCGTGTGGGACCCTGCTCTGTGGGGTGGGCTTCAGTCCAGCTCCTCTCTGGAGTGTGGTGTGTCCACCTGCATGCTTCCCAAAGACAGCAGCCGTTACAGTCTCTGCAGCATGCCAAGGCATCTCTTCCCTGAAAACAAAGCCCAAATAATATATTTCCAACTTGATTCAGATTAATTGCTCTACCAGGAGCTGCTCAGCTCCAAAGGAGGGTGGTCTTTGCACCTATGGCTGTTTGCACTGTTGAAGCCTCTCATGCAACCATGCCCTCCCAGCCCTTAAGTCTCTAAGATCCCTCCTGTAGCACATAGCCAGGCTTTTCCAAAGTCCCCAACACCTCTCTCAGGGCGTTAACGGGGCACAAAGCCCCCAGGCAGGAACAGGCACTAACAGCCCTGTCTTTGGCCAGAATGTAACTGCAACCAGATCGGCTCCATGCACGACCGCTGCAACGAGACCGGCTACTGTGAATGCAAAGAAGGTGCCATGGGGCCCAAGTGCGATGACTGCCTGCCCAACTACTACTGGAGACAGGGCTGCTTCCGTAAGTATCTGAGCCAGAGGGACAGACGGGGATGTGAGCTGGGTCCAAACAAGTTGGGGATCTTCAGTACTGCTTGCTCTGGTGCCCTGTGATGCTCAGGGTGTGCAGGGAGCAGACTCCAGCCATTCTTCCCAAACCCAAAATGACTTGATAGCTTTGCCCCTGGAGTTTGCAGCCCCCACTGTGTTCCTCTGGACTTAGGGCTGTTCTAGCACTATGAGGGTTGGAAAATTTAACCCCTATGAACTCGAGAAGAAAGCCAAAGTTTCTAGTTGCTGCTGCAGTCAAAGGGTTTAACATACCCCAGCCTAATACCCACATCCTTCCCTCCCTCCCACCTTGTAGCCAACGTCTGCGATGACGAGCTCCTGCTCTGCCAGAACGGCGGCACCTGCTACCAGAACCAGCGCTGTGTCTGCCCCGTGGGCTTCAAGGGGGTCCTGTGCCAGCAATCCCGGTGCGAAGCTGACAAAAAGGACTGCAACGGTGGCCCCAGCGCGCGCGGCAGCCTCGGCACCATCCTCCTTGGAGTGCTCGCCCTCCAGCTGCGCGGCCGGGTGGACCTCTGAAGCTGCAGAGGAGGGAGCCCAGCCCAGGCACGTCACCCGAGGGACCTGGGGAGACTAAGGTAACGGATGGCTCTCCCCACCGTCTCCTCCGCCTTCCTTCACACTAGGACTTGCACAACGTCTTTCGGTCCACTTTCCAAGCAGAGAGGTATGCAGAAAATCAGGGGCTGACTCCTGCCACCAAACCCATCCCGGCAGCAGCCGGGGTGGCCGCAGCGCAGAGCCGGCTGCCGAGCAGCAGCGCGGGGACGGCACCAGCCTGTGCCAGGGCCGCGGTCCCACAGCCCACTGGGGACACGGGGCCCACGGAGCCCACCCTTCCCTCCGTGCAGTGACTTTCCTTCCCTGCTCCACACAGGGCGACCTGGGGCCGGGGCCACCGGGGCCCTGATGACATAGTGCCGCAATCTAAGGGATATTTTTTTTATTATTACTTTATTTACTTTGATATAGGCTGGGGTGTTCTTATTTTTCCTCTTCTTAGTGTCCTGTTTTGGAAGAGCCTGTCATGACAACTCCAGAGCCCCGTAACACAACAGGCAGGGGAAGGGGAGGGAGGGAAGGGGGGACTCTGGTCCATCCGTGCTGCATAGTCCCACGTCCCACCATTGGCCTGGCCTGGCCGCACACATACTGTTGCCTACAACTCTAGTTGCTGCATTGATTTTGTATTTTCATTGTTGGGTTTTGTTTTCTTGCACTTACAGAGAACGCAGGGGCCATTAGGCATATGGTACGTGAGGAGTGCAGTGTCTTATCCACACATGTCCGTAGAGTGTACGGTTCAAATACTTTTTTTGGTAGAGACTTATTTTTGTTTGGATTAAATGTTATAGAAGAACCACAACTTAAAGGGACATTTTGCCATGAGCATTTGATTCTGGTGTATCCTCCTCCAGTAAAGCAACTATTAATGGCTGCTTGATCACCACGTTTTTCTTTTTGTGTGCACAGTTAATTACAGGTAAAGACTTATTTTTTGATTCATAATGTCCTCTTGTGTTTTCTGAGTCACTACTAAGGTGCACCGCACGGTGAGGGAGAGGGGAGGGAGAGAGAGGTTGCTTCATCACTGAGAGCTGTTAATTATTTTTCCTAATTACTTCGCTGAACCTAGGTTAGACAACTAACTGTAGACAATGAACAAAGCCTGAGTGATATATTAAGCACTGGTCTTGTGTGGAAAGGCCATTTCCAAATGAGCCTGCAGCAGAAGGCTGGGTAGTCCAGGGATGCTTCTCCAGGGGGACCTCAGTTGTCCAATGCTGTGACGCACCTTTGCAGAAAAAGCTGTTTATTTTTAAGCAGCTACAGCCTGGAACTTCAATATAGAGCTCACAGGGACTAGATCAACTCATTTAAGACTCATAAACATGACCCTATCTGAGGAAGAGTTTGCAGTCAAGCATATAAACAAAGTCAGGAGAAACCAGAGACATGATGTAACTCAACCAGAACAGGAATGTTGTGAACACAAGAGCTTTAATTCTGTCATGTCCAAAGATTTACCAAGCCAGGAGCTGATTGAGTGGAGGATTAGAAGATGGGAGATACCACCCCCCCCTGCCACCTCCAGCTCGTTCAGTTCTGGGCTAGTTTTCTGGACAAGGGAGCAGCTCTCAGTCACCACCCCAGCTCTACCCAGTCCAGTTGCTCCCTGAGCCAGCCCAGGAGCCTCACACAATCCAAACTCGAGCCTCCACTGGCCTTTCCAGCTCTGGTGTCCTTGCCCAAGGTCTTCAAGAGCTTCTTTACCAACATCTGTTCTGCTTTAACACTCTCCATGGTCCCTGAGCCCACCCTGCTCAGGGGGGCCTGTGATGGGAGCAGCCCACGTTTCAAAAGCGCAAGAACCCACCGTGTCTTCCAGTCTAACATGGCAGATTCCGTGTACACAGTCAGTGCCCCCAAAATGCAGCCACCTCAACAGAGGAGGGGGGCAGTGAACTTGTAGTTTGAAAAAGAAGAAGAAAACAGAAGCGGAGGTACAGAATAGTTACTGTCACTTCAAAAAGCAACGCAAATCTGATGCACACTTTGAGCAGCGTTTAACATCACAGAGGCAGGTCACAGGGCTTAGTTAATCCACCATAAAATAAATGAGGGTTAAACTCACCCTGCTGAGATTTGATCTTTGAGGGAGTGAGTTGGAACAAGTATTGCCTCTCTTTCTTTAATGCAGCCAGTTGCTGTCTGTTGGTATTGACACTCACTCTTCCTTTGTACTTTCTGACTGCAATAGATTTAAAATTCTCATATGTTACTGTTCTTAAAAGTAATAGCATAGAAAAGACTGTAACAAGATCAAGATCTCTAATGGCACTTCTGGAAGGTGAAGCAATGTTGTCCTTTCCCTGCACTAGTGTTTTTCTCTAGAATATTAGATTAAGCAACAGAAAATTTACTACTTCATAAAGCTGTGTCCCAGACAAACTCTGCACCCAGCAGATTCCCTGCACACACACACTTTTATTGTGATTCAAGCAGGAATGTGCCAAGCAGCAGCACCACATTTCCATAAAAAATAACCTCAGAAGGGCACAGCAAAGCTCAGAAAAGCCCAGGAATGAAGACTGCTCAAGGTGATAGACCACTGCACTAGACCTTTTTAGATTTGGGGGGATTTTCTCTTGGTTGATTGGATGTTGGTTGGTGGGTTTGGGGGTTTTATTTGTCTGTCTGTAAGAAAAAACATCATTGTCTTCGTTACTCAGCTCCAGAGACAGTCACCTCCCTGTGAACCCAGAATACCAGTAATGTTTGGTCCTGGCCCAATGAATAGATAGTTCTATAACGTCAACCAGAAGCAGAAAGCTGTGGCAGCTATGCCAAAAGGAACCTGAAAAATGTTGGGGAGCAAAACACAAGTCTGCCTTCCACACTACATACACCGTTCTTAGGCTCTTCCTGGTTGTGCAGGAGCAAAGCCCCCTGTAAATTGTAGCCACAAAGGACAAACACAACCGGATTCATCTCGCAGAAGAAATCAAATGGCCTTTAGGCTGTGAGCAAGGGCAGAGCCAAAAGAGGGAATTTCAGACTTCCCTCCTGCGGCTCCTCTTCAGGCTCAGACACAAAGCTAGCCCTGCGCGTTGGAGAGCAGGATGGTGCTTTACCGGGCCAGTGGTGCTGGAGAACTTGCAATCACATAACACAAACCACTACAAGACAGAAAAAAACCCTCTCACACGCAACTTAAACTTGGTATTTAAGAAAATAATTTAAAGCTTCTGAAAGCTTCAGCACTGAAGATCCATTAACTACAGGCATTTGTTAGCGCATCGGTGTCTACACAAGAACAGAGAATTATTGAAATTATACAGAGAGAAACCATCACAGCAAGTACCCGCAGATCCAAAAGTTCATCTTCTTTAAGACAGAAACATTTGTACATCAGTTAATGCTTCCAAATGGGAGAAGTTGTCCAATGAGCTTGATACTTCACTTGTGGAAAGGTTAACCAAAAAGTACTTCTCTTTCCGAGAAAAGCCACTTGCGCTCTTTCAAGAGGTTTTCATGTGTATCCTGTCGCCGGCATGCAGCCGGCATTGGAGTCATTTGAAAAAGTTTTAAAATTACACTTCTGTCTGCACAAAAGTGACCTCTTCAAACAGTACAAGTAGAGCTTTTGATTTTTCTTGTTTACCTCCAATTCTACTCTGATTTTAACTATTGAGAGCACTGGCAAATCTAAAGAACCAAAAGACCCAAAGCAAAAAAATCTGTCTGATGTAACAGACTCCTGCGGTCAGGCTGAGTTCACAGAGCAGTCAGCAGCAGTCTGGCTTTATGCATATTTGTTCACTCGCCAGATAAAATGTTAAGCCTACAGTCCCTGGGAGCTGGAGACAGAAGGAGGGGAGAAAAATTTCCGCTGGCACTTACCAGGTATGTTATTTGCTTTTTTGAAGATAAGGAAGCAGACATCTCATCTACAAGAGTGATTGGTAAGGAGCCTTGCGGAGGCTGGAATGACGAGAGAACCAACACTTTAGTGGCAATAAAATTAACAGTTTCACCAACCAATTCTGTTCTATAATTGGCTTTCGTGACAATAAAACAAAGTATAACGGAGGAGCTGATTGCTCCTGCTCAGAAATAAGAGCAGAGCTGGGTTTTGAAGAGCTTTGTATCACTCTCTTCTCAGCCCTTCTGGCAGAGAGTTGGAGAGTTTGGCCACTATCACATAAAAACTGGTTAAAAATCACTTGCTGATTTGAGATGCAGAGAAGAGCTTCAGACTGTCCTAGAGGCTCTTTTATCATTTTGATTCTCTAGGTGTCGTAACAAGTTTCACTGCAGGGTGAAACGTGTGAGGAAAGCCTAAAACCACCCCTTTTTACCGGGTGCTTACCTTCTCTCCTGGCCAGCAACAATACTGGGCACCAAAAGCTCCATCCCAACCCCGCTCTGTGCGACTTCAGGGATTAAGATAAAGGGGAAACTGATGGGATTTTTTTGGAGCAAAGGGAGTTCTTGCTTGATGCAACAGTGAAATCAGTGACAAAATTGAATGGCCACAGCAGCGGTGCCTGTCAGGCTATAAAACAAGTTTTTCTACGTTTTCACAATACCAGATGTAATGTGCACTCAAACCACCTTCATTTTAATTTCTATTACTATTTGCCTGGGAGTTGGTGGCAAATTAGTCGAGGTCTTAGCAGACAGGTACATATGGCTAGAAGGTCTCATGTGTCAGCGTTATTCGATGTACAAGGCTGCTTAGCTTACATTTATTTGCACTAAAGAATAAGGCATTGGGCTCCCTTCCAAGCAACTTAAAAAGACGAGAAAGACTTTATATACGACTTGGGAATGGACCCGTTGTGGCAAGAGACGGTATTATATCATTAACATTATAAATTCCATTTACAGTACAACAGTCATTTCATCCATCATTTATTCATGCAGACTAGAGAGAACATCTTGCATTTTTAGGACTGTGGTTCTACTTATCCTTAGTATTGCTACAGTTGCTGTGCTGTGAATGAACAGCCCAGATCCAGCTGTTGGCTACTCTGGTCTCTCCCTTCTTCTTACAGAGAAGTAAACCCCAGCATCTCACCACACATCAGTAACTGGAGGAAAAAACAAAACAAAACAAAACAAAACAGAAAAAAAAAAAAAAAAAAAAGGGAAAAAAACCCTCAACTCTTAAATTACTGGGGTTCCATGTTATTTTTCGGATGCCGACTGAGAATGTCGTTTACCTTCAATCAGTACGTTTGGTCACTACAAGTTCTTTCTTGCTCTGGAAGCACTCGCTGCTCACACATCCCTGGCATCAGTACAGCAGGGGTGGGCGCTGCTTCCATTTTACGGACGAGCAGGAGGAAGAGGCAAAGTGCCTCACCTGCCTGCACACCTCGCACAACTCAGTCTTCCAGCTCCTGTGCCTCCAGCTCTTGGACCCAGTTGCTGATCAGTTACTGCACTCAGCTTAGCTAGGAGACAGTTCTGTAAAAAACTCCTTGTCCCACCAGTACTGCAAGTGTGAACGTAAACCAAGGCACCGGGAGGAGAGGCCGCTGGCTCCGTCCCCCCGGCAGCGTGGCACAGCTCTCCTGTTCCTCAGGCCCACCCGCTACCACTCCACTGAATACTCAGCACCCCCCACCATGTCCCCACAGGGGGTTAACACTCCCCCCCCCACAACCGGTTTTCCTCTGGGTGCTCAGCAGACCCCCGTAGGTCCAACTGATAAAGCCACTGTTAGTAAGCCAGCACTCCACAGCGTAGTGCATGTACAATGAGACACAGGTAAGAAGAAAAACTTATCAGGCAAGTACCTGTTTGGACATCATCATTATAGATCTGGCTCTGGTTTGTTCTCACATCACCCTGATTTGGAGTAATGACACAGAAATCTATTACAGTAGACCTTTGAGGAAAAAGGAATAACCAGAATTATACTCCACCTTTACTGGA